AATTTTCCTTTCCTGTTTTACTTTTCAGTGTATACTTCCTCCATACAGAATACAGTATCTTTTTCCAGCAGCATATTATCTTGTTCAACAACAGGCACAGCGGGAAAATTCATTGGAATTGCTGCGTGTTCATCTGCTTTGTAGAGACATTTATCGACTTTGCCTTCGCTTTATAATCTTACAATGAATTGGAACTTACTGTGGTCTGGTTCTGGGACTACTGTAGAGTTTTTGGAAGAGACGGGCCAACTCAATTAGGATTGTGACACCACCGGCATTTGAGTCTGCTCCATAAGACAGCCACTGTAAAATGCACACACACACATATCCATTTACGGTTCGAGCACAGTCTGATACTCTATCTGCTAAAATTTACACCTAATTTCAGAGGTGTTTTACGATTTGACTCACAGGGGCAAGCCCAAAAGAGTCATAGTGGGCTGCGATGACTATAGTGGGTGCATCCTCTACTGCTCCTAGAAGAACTCCCTGAAATAATCATCCCCAGGCATATATCACAGAATCAAAGTGCATTTGCAAGCAGATTGAAAATTATTTAACTGATATTGAATGATCTAATCAATTTTATTCCTCTATGGGGAATTATTGGGTCCCAAACTCACCTCCAGTGTGATTATAGCATTGTCAGTGGTGGCCTTAATTGGGGCATTGTTGATCACTAAAATCTGAAAAGCTGTAGCCGTGACCATACTGCGGAGGACTGTCAACAAAAGAAGAAATGCACCAGAACCGTGAGTAATACTGTAACTTTCTTTTTAGTTTTCCCCGTGCATTAGTCCAAACAACCACCATTAAGCATTTGCATGTATCTCGTTGTTGTATCACTTACCTCTGACAAAAATGGATGATGTCCGGGTGGCTGCAGCCTGTTTCACCTCCTCATACATGCAGAGCAGCTGTTCATCCTCAGGTGCCACATACACTGGCATGAGGGTCTCCTTCTGCAAGGTCTCGCTTTCACTTACCATAAATGACTGAGAGACAAAATGCTTTACTTAAACCAAAGGGTTGAGAAACAATTGTAATCTTGATTAAGAGTTTCTTAATATCTTCCTTACAATCCTGTTTTCTTCTGATTTCCTTAGTAATTGAGTGATGTGTCTATAACAGAAGGAATGCTTTTAAGTATTATAATTTATTACCTCTACTGCATTGTGAGGGATACTGGAGATATTTTGGGGCAGCAGGATCAGGATGGCAGCTGCATTTTGTCGCTGGGCCTCGGAGTATTTTTCTGTTGTGAAGTCTTCCACCTTCATTATCACACAGCGGCGGGTTAGCGACGGCTCTTCTGCTGAGCGTGCCTCCGCAACAACAATGGCTCCACGACAGCCTCGGCGAACGAGACAAGAGAAGGCAAATGATACATAAATACCAACTTGGGCAACATAGAAACTCTACTTTAAACGCAGCTTCCTCTTCCTGTTTTTTTACACAGAAAAAAGCCTTTAGCAAACCAATCTGTTTCCAGTGGCAGTGACCACAAGCTCTCAGTGGTCAAGAAATATTAGTTCCCTCAGTCAGCTGTAATTTTTAGGTAAAAAAAAATCCTGTTGGAAGACCTTGCCTCGGCTTTCCAGCTAATCTGCACATTTTTTAAAAAAAAATACACTGAAAATGGTTTCCTTAGAATTTGAAACATAATTTATGCTCAGAATAGGTTCTATATAAATATCCAGTTTTTCCTATATTCCTATAAAATGCTCTAAAATTGGTTACCAAATTTGTAGTAGTTTCATGCGCACCCAGGTTAAACTATAATTTGAGTTTAACACAGACAAACTCTCTTCCTGGAACATATTGATTTCAAAATATCCTTTCAGCACCAAAGCTTGAATATGCATCATATGGCACATTTAAGGTCAAACAAAAAACAAGCAACACTTTAAATTTAGAAGCAATTTTATGCTACAGATTTGTCATTTTTCTTTTATTATAATATATAGGTGTGTCTGAACTTACCATACTTATGCTGTCCCAGGTTGTACTGTTGCATCCTATAGGCAGTGAACTCATAGGACGACACGGCAGGGAGAGCGGAGCCATGCAGAGACTGCACGCAAAGCAGCAGTGCAATGGCAGCTGTGCTCTGCAACATGATGTGGCATCCAGTTGTGATCTCAGGCTAGGGAGGATGGTTAATGTAAGACTTCATAAGAGACCAGACTTCCTTCAGTGCTGTACAAAAGTCTGGAGCCACCCTTCATTTATTGCTTCCACGAAGCCAGACGTTCTTGGAATTTTTATTTAAAGTGGTCTTTAGCAATAATTCTTCATGCTTTCTGAAGATGTGGCTTGTTTTTTACTTATACTGAAACCAGTCCTTGTACCTAATTATTTTAAGAGCTAAGCCACTTAACACTAACATACAAATTGAACAAGTGGAGGAAAAGTGGAAGGCCTAAAAACTATCTAGAGCAGATGAACGATATTTGGAAGTCACGTTCTTAAGAGATAAGATCCACTAAATCCACCTGACACAGAACCCAAGAGACGCATCAGTTGGCCTTCAGTTGGCTTACTGTTCACTGAATCCTCAACAGTGGAAGGATGGGTGTCAAGAAGCAATTTAGAATCCAGGGATGGGGAGAAAAGGCTGAGGTGTGCCAAATTATACAAGAACTGCGAGCAAAATCAGTGGCAATTGTAAATTTTTGGTTCAAATCATCATTAATATGTACAGATTTGTACCTGTGAGAGGTACAACAAGCCTACAGCTTACATGGTGGAGGCTTTGTCATGCTTTCGGGCTCTTCTCAAAACTGATGGAATTATTAGTGCCGAAAAGTGCCATCAGATTTTGATCCACCATGCAATGCCATTTGAAACGCATTATGAGAATGATCCCAAACATACCCCCCAATGCAGTAAAAGCATACCTGGATAGAAAAACACAAAATGGCTCACTATTAATCATGGATTGGTTTCCCCAGAGCTTTGACCTCAACATTAACAACATCCAAAAAGAGCTTTGATTGCACTTCTAGAGGCCTGGAGAACTATTCCTGAGGATGACTCAAAGAAATGACAAGAAAACTTGCCTAAGAGAATTCAGGCTGTATTGAAGAATAAAGGTGGTCATACCAAATATTAACTTTCAAGCTGGTTAGAATTGTATAAACTGTTTTTGCCTTTTAAACCGTATTTCCATTTATGTTTCCACATGTTAGATATAAAGAAATGAGGGGTGACTCAAGACATTTGCACATTATATCTATTATAATATTTTGTGTTTAAATAAAGTCTTTGATAGGGCCAACAGTGTAAGGCAGAACAGATAAGGTGACAGTAATCACCCTATTCACCACAGGTTTTACAAATACCATACAAGTTTCTAGATGGATGAAAATGAGGTTATCATCATCACCTACTAACCAGTATGTGAATCTTAACCAGGAATTCCTTCGATAAGGAGCCCTTCTCTGTTCACAGTGACATTTCCGAACACAAAGTCAGTCACTAACAGAAAATGTTCCTTACCTGTCCTCCTGCAGTCTTTTCTCGTGAGGCTTTCTTTCTTCCTTCCTCAACTTCGGTGTTACTCCTTGCACATGGACACATGCTACCGTTAACTCCTGGGATTCAAGGCATCTAGGTAAGCCACCATTCACCATCTGCTCCAGAGGGATCAACTCAAAGCTAATCACAAATGCCCAACCCCCTGCACTCACTACTCCATCAATCTATTGTTCCCTCCCTCCCCACCTTGCCCGTTTTGGACGTAATGTCATATACTTCAGTAGGCAATCACCCATTACCAGCAGAGTCTCTGCAGGGAAGGCAAGGAAACTCTTCCAGCCAGTAGCTGTTTGTTTCATCTCCTGCAGGGAAAACTACCAGAGTCTAAAGAAGTTAAAGAATATAACTGGATATTACAGAGTCACACGGCACCATCAAAGTTGAGATATCTAATATTTATTTTTATTTTTTTTTGATATGTTGTACTATACACAGAACTTTAACACTATTAAAATCTAAATGGAACCTGTTCACAATCATCATAACAACAAATAAAAAGCTTCAGTCTGTGTATGAATTATTTCCCACATGTGAAAGTAAACAAAAAACACACGACTGAAAATAAATAGCTTCAATTACAAGAAATTACCCTAAACTCAAGTCAGTGAAGAAGTCAGCTACACCTTAATTTATACATCAGCCACAAGTATTGCAATCGGTAGAAGATAATTGTGATGACTTGTGTGAAAATCCATTAGGATGATGTTAATGGTGGAAAAAAAAATACAGCTCCACAGTCACACGCAATCACTTCCTCATCATATATGCTAACTGTGCATCCACCTACTAGCTACACTGGTGACATTTTAAATTACCTACTGTGCTGTTGATGGACTTTTCTACTTTTTGCACATGATTTTATTGTCTAAACACATGGCACCTCTTTTCAAAATGTAAACTATTTTTAGTGTGCACTTTTCTAAATCAAATGCTGCAGGAACACTGAGGTTCTATCAGGGATAAAAGGGAAATAAGCAATATTTTCTGAATTGTTAATTCAGATAAATAGTTTTTTAGTTATCTCTATCCAATCAACTTTTAGTTGTTTTATGCTATAAATACGGTACTACTTCCTTATATAGTACAGTGCAAAGGTTCATCTCTTGATGACCACCACTACAAACAAAAAGCTAAAGCAAGATCACAAAGCAAGAGTCCTTTAGGAGGTAAACATTACACACTGTATCTCCAATCGCATCAGTCTTTTAGATCTTGATTGTTACTGGTGCTTTTTGTAGTCTTTCATTATCATAACAGAAAAACATAAAAGAAATCAACACA